TAGACTCCTGTTTACCCGTCGTAATGAACAGATTTTTTATTTTATGCCGCCACACGCCAAAATGTGTCTGTTTCCAGCTGTATTTACAAAAGACAAAATCCTCTTATGCAGCCTTCTCTTAGAGAATGTAGAGAAAAGGCTGAGAAGCTGCTGAGGATTCATCCCTCAATTCAAAAAAAATAAACACAGCTTAACAAGTTGTATGTATTATGTATTTTTTAGCATATCTTTATTTCTTCAGGTGCAGGCAGATTGGCTGTGTATTCATGTTGTCCTTGCATTGGTTTCATTGATTCTTAAATAAATTTTTCTTACCTTTTGAAATTGAAATTTAAAACTGTTTTCTACAAACAGAAACAAATGAATCTTAAATGTACTGTAAATAACCCTCTAAAGCCCTGCTTGAAACAAATGTCTCTATGCAAAACATGACGATCTACCTAATGGGCTAAATACAATATCCTTGAGGTCAACGTCTTGTATATGAAATCATGCAAATCTTAGGCTATCTGTTCCCTTAAACTAGTCTGTAAATGTCATTTCATTTGCCAAAGACCACTTATAGACCCATTATAGCCTTAAATGGTTTATAAAAGCATGTTTCACATCCATCCAGCCAACCCATCCTCCACACACATGTTGTTACTGGCGCGTCCTTTTTATTTGGAACTTATCGGTTTCGATCAGATTGTGGTCACCTCATTTTGAAAGCTAACTCTCAGTTTATTTTCAATAATTAATCTCCGTTCCAGGCTCAGAGTGCAGCGGCCGAGTCCCTGGCCAGCACTGAACTCTCTGAACGCATCTCCTGCCTGGAGCAGGAAGTGACCCAGCACAAGGAGGATGCTGGAAAAGCCCAATCTGAGGTGGAACGACTTCTGGAAATCCTCAGGGAGATGGAGAACGAAAAGAACGACAAGGAGAAAAAGATCCACGAACTGGAGAGGTAAGAGAGGAGGATGAGGAGATTAAACACAGGAACAGAGTTTCTAAAATACTCCTGCATCTTTTTCCTTCCTGTATTAACCCTTTTCAATATAAAACACTTGATTTACTTGCTGAAATGATCCTTTAATGCAACAATAGACTCCACTTTGTTGTTCATTTTCTATTCAACTTCAGACAACATACTAGTTGAGGGTAAACGTCCCTCTAATACTAACTCATTAGTTATCGCTCACCTCTTCCTCTTTCCTCTTTCTTCCCCTGTTCTCCGACTGTTCTGTTTTATTCCCTTCATCTTTTCTTTTATTCCATCATCCACATGCGTGTACACACTGATATGTGTACATTCACGTGGTTCTGCATCTGCGTGAGTGCATTTACGTTTGTGCGGGTGCGTCCATGACATCCCAGAAATCCCTCTGCCTCTCATCTGTGGCGTTCTCAGCAGTCGCGAAAACAGGCCCCTCCCCCCGCTGCCTCTCAGCAGCCAATGGGGGGGATGGTGTGGGACTACCTGGGCACGTGAGTGGCTGGTGGCCCTGTCAGCCAGTTAGCTGTCTGACTACTGCACGACAAAAAACTCACTTTGCTTGACGGAAGACGGGATATGAGAGCACTGTGATAACAACCCCCATGTGGAAAAGTTTATGGGATGAAACAGCTTTTAAAGTGAATTTGGTGGATAGTTTTCCTGTTTTGATCTGACATGTCAGATTCAACAGATGGTTACACCTACAGGGGTTCAGCTAAGTTTGTATAAAAGGGTTGATCAAAAAGTTCTAAGACTGTGCAGGAGGTGCGTCATGCAACATGTTTGAGGAGTGAGTTGTCATGAGTCTGGATGCTACGAGGCACCGCACTGTCAACGGTGGGACCTGTGTTAAGGAAGTGCAAATTTCTCCCTGGACCATAAATTGGAGTATCGAAGAAAATATCTGTCAGTCAGAAGTTGGGACAAGTAGATCTTTATGTTGGTGATGAGAGGTGCATCTGCAGCTACCACAAAGAGAAGAAACAGCAGTTTTTAGGGGCGCCCTGGTAGCTCAACCGGATCAGACAGCGACCCACAAACAGGGGCTTTAGTCCCCGATGCAGCGGTCATGGGATCGACTCCCAACCACGGCCATTTGCTGCAGGTCTTTTCCACACTCTTCTCCCCTCTTTCCTGTCTCTCCACATGGAAGCCAACAAGAAATTTTTAAAAAAGAAAGAAAAGAAACAGTAGTTTTCACAGTGGACAAGGTGCATCAGGTCAGGAGCACACCAGAAGAATGCATGTTGTTTTCTTCAGCATTCTGCACCAGGAAGTAGTTCCCAAATCAGAGTTCTACTGTAATGTCCTCAGGAGTGAAAACATTCAGCTCAAACAACCTGAAGTGTGGTGTGATGGTATGTGAGTGCCACAGCACAATGAGTACCAACAGGTTTTTTTTGGCAAAAACACAATCATCACTCTTGATCCATTTAATCACCTGATTTGGCTCTTACTTTTTCCTCCTTCCCAAAATGAAATTTAAGTTAAACAGTCATTATTTTCACACAATTTCTGAGATTCAGTCCTGATCGCAGATGGTGCTTGGCATGTTTACACAACCGGACTTCCAGGAAGCATTACAAGCAAAGCAGAAGCACTGGAAACGCGGTATTGCTGTTAAAGGAGATTACTTAACCAGGGTACCCAGCCAAATTTGAATCAGGCACGGTTTCTGATTTTTATAGGCACAATCTCGCAACTGTTTGATCAACCCTCGTATAGTAATAAAAAAGTAAATGAATTAACACACAAATGCAACTTGTCCAGAGATTTCTCCTGCTTGCCAGCCTTTTCCACATGGGACGGAGCTGAGTATGTTCACTAATAATCACCCTTAAAGAGTTGCAGCATTGGTTCACTTCTTCTCACCAAGTTTCTCTGTTATGGCTTATTCGGTCCGTTCTCTCTCTCCCATGTCCAGAAACTGGAGCTAGTTTTACTCTTAAACATCTAAGCTTGAACAGAAGTTTTAGTTTGCAGCATGACAAGCCAAACAGCTCCCAAAGTTTGTAAAATGAGGGCACAGTTTGGCACCAGAGCTGCTGTACAGCGAGAAACTCTTTGAGCCTCTGTTCCTGTCAATGATGCAACTCTTTCATTTAGTGGCTCTGTTTTTTCGCTTCACTTTTGCTTTACTTTCAGCAGAGGATGCTTGACTCGCAGAGTTTAACACACACTTTTTCTTACATTAGGAGTCTGGACTGTTCGCTAAGTTAAAAAACAATCCCTTTTACAATAACAGATTCATGTTTCTAACTACTTTTCTATTTGTCTGTATAATTTTGGATTAACCTACCTGTCTCTCACTCTTTATGCCTGCCTGTGTACACTGTATCTACCTCGTTAGCTAGTCTATTTTCTGTCCATATCTGATTTATTGTCTGCCTGTAGCCTCTGTCTGCTTGCATGGCTCCCTAACTGTATGTCTACCTGTCTCCTTGAATACCTGTTTATGTGTCTGTCTATAAAGAGGGCATAACAGAAAAGAAGAGCCATAGGAGATGAAGCCATTTTTTTGTATGAAAACTACTCCTTAAGGAAGGTCATGGGCCTTTCTGGTTAACCGGTAAATGATAGCAGTGGGCGAAGTGATCCAAAACCTTGTACTGGTTGCATTTTTGGTTGGTTTTATTGAGTAATGGAGAATGTAGCGAGATTAAAGTTTGTCTTAGAGGGTTGGACGGGTCAGATGCTGTCTGTGGTCATGAAATCTGGTCCGTCTCTCTGTCTTCATGCCTCCTGACGGCTTTGATTTTTTTGAACTTTCATACGCCGGCTGTCTGCGCCTTCTCTCTTTAATCTTTTCCTCCAGTTTCTTCCTTGGACTCTAACCCTTCCCGCTCTAGACTCTCTTCCGTGCGTTTCGCAGTTTGAATGCAAAACGCTATAGCTGCTAATGATTTTAGTTAGATTCAGAATTTTCTCTCGGTCTGTCCAGGAGAAATACGACACTATTAATAATTCAGCACCAGGTGAACTCAAACATGTGTGTTTTAACTGCGTGTGTTATTTAGTCTGCCAGTAGCCGCAGATGCAGATTTACAGCACTGCTAAGTTTGTGGACAACATTTGAATGTAACTTAATAGGCATTTACTATTGCAGATCGGTGTACACGTGGGAGTTTTTTAGTTCTTAAATCAAAAAGATGTTTCATTGTCCCAGCAGAGCAGAATGAAATTAATGTTTCTTGCAACTGATATTTAATATCTGAACTTTGCCGGCTGCTCTTAGGAAACTGGAAAAGTATTAAATTTAAGGTTCGTACAGTATGTTTGAGGAGAATATCCTGTAATGGCAAAATTTGGATTAACTAGACTTTTATTAGGTAATTTAACTTTCTATTTGCAGTCATTAGTGTGAAGTAAGTGGTTTGTCGAGGTTATATTAGACTGTGCAAGGATATGAAGTCGTTTTTTTTATCATCACATATATTGGTTTCATTCAGCTATTATTAGACATATGATGAGGGAAACTGTGCCTGTCTAATTTACGGCTGCGGTTCAGCATAAATATTTTGAAACACAGTCAAGAAAATGCTATTGTGGACTTTTCGCTAAGTATCGTCCCTGTTACTGTTGCTTCACACCTTCTCTTACCTCTCAGATCAAAACCGATGCTGTTTTTTAATCGTTTTTTTATGCAGAGTTCGAGTAAGTGATGATTTTACCAACTGTTTTATTGCAGCTTTTGTCAGTTGTACCTTTCTGGCCATTTAAACTAATATCGCCTCCAGAAGCTGCTAGCTGACTTTCTAAATGCTTTCAGCTGACCCATTTAAAAAGCATAACGCCTTTTGACATTATGAATTTCATTATTTTATGTTTTCATTTCCTCCAAATCTAAAAAGAGCAGCACAGGGCGGTTATCCTAAAGTCCTGAGCATTAAGGACAGACTTCCACACAGATACAGTTACAAACAGCCCTGTCCTGCCTAGTTCAACTCAAAAACTACTGTCAAGGTGCCATCGGGACATTTTAATGGAGCTACACATCCACACAGATGTCACTAGGTGAAACAATAACTAGCTTAAAGGTCTCATATTGTGGCCCTTTTTAGCAAATTAATAAAAATCCCACGTCCCCAGAATGTGTGTGAATTTTTCAGCTGCAAAGATGGTTCAATTCATCCCCGAGTTTTAGCTTTGCTTTGTTATGAACAAGTTATTTTAGTGTCTGCAGCTTTAAATGCAGCTGAGCTGTTGCTGTTCAGGAAGAACACTCTCTCTGCATCTATGATTGACAGACATAGCAAAACAGTTCACTGCATGGCAGGCGACACAGATTTGAATAAGTGTGTAAGACTACATTTTAGAAGCTGGAATTACAGGCTTTAAACTTAAAAAATAAAATCATTCAAACACCTTAATTGATCATCATAATAGTTGGCAATCAATTTAATAGTTGACAACTAATCGATTAATTAATGCAGCTCTATCACTTTCTATCACTTCTAACTTCACCTCATTTCTGTGAAAAGATTTTCGTCAGATAAAAAAATGACTGCTGGTTAACATGTAGTCTTAATGGGCTGCGCTTCAGTCACTATTCACTACTTATTCTATTCTCTGACAGCAGAAACAGAAAAATATGCAAATGAGAATAGCTTTAGTGGGAACTCAGCTGTATTTCAATGTGAGCAGAGAGAGGAGGAGAGAGGGAAACAAATGTAAACACTAGCCGAGCTTAGGTTGCACTGAAGCACAGCACATGACATTATAACACAGGAACCCAAATAGTACTGTTCTCCTAGTTTAATCATAACAACTGGACTTTTACAGTTGAGTTTCGGTTTCAATTGGGGGTTTGTTGCTCCTCCAGTTAAGGATATAAGTATCTGGACCTCCCAACTAGTCAGTCAGAACTGATGAAGCCTCTTGGATGAGAGGTGAAATGTCTTCAAGTAATTCAAGCAAGTCCAGTTGCTACGATTAAACTGCGAGAATAACCATGACCTGGATGACTGAGA